CCGCGCCGCCGAGCGCTTGCACGACGCCGAGGCCCGTCGCCATGCCATTGTGGCCGCCAAGCAGCGCACGGCCGTCGCACTCATGGAGCCGATCACCGTCCCCTTTACGCCGGTGGCGGAGGAGAGTCTATGGGAAGCTTCGTCGCGGCGTCTCGCGGCGGCAAGTGCTGCCCGCAGAGCGCTCTTGGAGGAGAAGCGCGCGCGTGCCGGAAGCATCCTCGAGCGCGCCAAAAGCATTGCAGCCGACGTGGCTGCGCTCCAAGGCCAGTATGCGGTAAGAGTTAAACCACTGCACTGGACTTAAATGACTGTCTAGACGCTGGCAACGCACGACTTGCAGCAGCGACTGGCGCGCGCCGAGGTGCGCCGGCTCATCGTGCTCGACAAGCGCCGGCTCCTCGCGGGCCGCCACGGCAACTACGTGCGGTCCGTCTACTTGACGACCAAGTATCTCGCGCGGGAGGCAGGCGACCGGCGCGCTCTGGCGAAGGACGCGGCGACTGCCCGCCGCCAAATGCACTTGGACGCGATCGCAGGACGCACGCGGTACCTCTTGGTCCAGTTGCCAACTTCTCCAAATGCCATGTGGCGTAGGCGGCACAACCTCAGCGGTCGACGTGCGCGCATCGGCTCATGGACGCGCAGTGGCTTCACACGGCACTGGCCTCGGCGTCAGCACAGGAAGCTGCAGCGAGCGTGCGGGCCGCGCTCATCGGCGCGCGCGTCGACGCGTTGCAAGCCGCGGCCGCGCGCCGCGAGCACGTGGCCCGCCAGCGGTATCGTGAGACTGATTTGCGATGCCGCGTGGTGGCCACGACGCTCGATGTGCGGCTCCGGGCCGCGTCCGCCCGCCGATCGGCCTTTCTCGCCGCGCGGACAAGTCGCATCACCGAGCGCCGCGAGCTTCTGCGCGCTCGCAAGTGGACTGCAGCGCACAACGCACGGCGGTTCGTCGCGTGGGCGCTCAAGGACAAGCTGGCGCAAGCGACCAAGCGCCGCGAGGCCGTGCTCGAGCGCCGCCGCGCCGCCTGTGCCGCACGCAACTGGTATGCCCGCGTCGTAAGCCACCGCCACGCCGAAGTCGTGGCCGAACGCATCGCGTGCCTGACAGCGCGCAGCAGCGACAAGCACGCAGCCGCCGCGCATCGGCGACGGGACCAGCAGCGCAATATCTTTTGTCAACTGGTCGGCCTTCGCCACGAACGCGTCGCACACGTGCTCGCCACGCAGACGCAGCACCTCGCGCGCACCGCCGGGCGCAAGATGACGCTCGCCGCGCTCCGGGTCGCCGAGTTGCAGCACGCGCAAGCCCAAGCGACGCATGCCCGCTGGCTCCATACGCAGCGCGTGCGCGAGCGACGAGACCACTTGGCGTTGTTTCGCGCGCAGTGTCTTCGGTCGCGCACGTTCGCTCGGCATCGGTCGGCCGAGATTCGCCGGGCGCTGCAACTCGCGGCGATCTGCGCCGGCGTCGACGAAGCGGCCGCCAAGCGCGACGCCGCGCGCCTCCGCGTGCAGTTTGCCACCGAGTCGCTTCGGGCGCATCTCGAGTTTCGACTGCTGCGCGCCGACGAGAAGCGGCATCTGTACTCTGCCAACAAGACTGCGGCCGCCGTCTTCTTTGCCGCGCAAGGCGAGATTGTGCGCCGGCGGCTCGCGAGCCGTGACGAAGCCCGTCGGCTCACGTATGCGTACGAGATGGAGAGCGCGGGGTTGCGCCAATCGATCGCTCGGACGCAGCGCGCGCGGTCGCACCTCCTCGCACGCGCACTCGTCGCCGGGCGGCAGGTAGCCAACTGCAATGTGACATGTGGACGCATTGAAACATTGATTTGATGGTGTAGAAATACCTCGCCGAAGCGCGGGCCGAGCGTGGGCTGCTCGCGGCCCTGCGCCATGCAAACGCGGCCGACCGTCGAGACGAGGTGCGCGAGGCCAAGCAAGAGACCGCGCGGCGCACGACCCAGCGCGTGTCGCTCGCGCGCCTCGAGCGGCAGTCGACGGACATTGTCGACGTGGCCGTCAAGACGGCGATGGCGGCGACGATCGCGCTCCACGCCGAACGCCGCCGCGTGGCGCTGCTGCAAGCACGGACAGACGGCGCGCGGGCGCAGAGTCACCGGGCCCGCGACGTGGCGCGGGTCCAAAAGGTCGCGCGCCGCATCGAAGCGCTCACGCTCCGCGAGCAGAGCCAGCAGCGCGTCGACGAGAGCGCGAAGCGGCGAGAGATGCTCCTGGCGCAGCGCAAGCTCGGTCTGAGCGCGAGTCTCCAGCCAGGCCTTCTCGTCGTTGGCACTGCGATTCCGCTGCCCAACTCGGCATGAGCGTGCCCTGCCGTGCGATATATACTTGGTACATAGTGCCCATGGTATGTAGAAGTTGGTGTGTATATAAGATGTATTTTCTTATCGCCTTGGCCGTTGCCGCGATATACAACGGAGCCCTAGAGGTGGAGGGTGGAGAGCGCGCTGTCGAAGGAGGCGGCTCTTTGACGACCATCAACGCGGTAGAGAGGATACACAAGTCGCATTAGGCTGGCGCAAAGCGGATCGACACGCTGTTGACGCAGTGACGCTCGTTCGTCGGGTTCTTGAAGCCTTCGTTCTTGAAGACGTGACCCATGTGGCCGCCGCAAGCCGCGCAGACAATCTCGACGCGGTAGCCATCTTCGTCCGGGATGGCCGTGATCGCACCGGGAAGCGCGTCGAAGAACGCGGGCCAGCCGCAGCCCGAGTCGAACTTGTGGCTCGACTTGTACAAGGGCGCGTCGCAGCCGGCGCAGTGGTAGACGCCCTCTTCGTAGTGCTTGTTGTACTCGCCCGTGCCAGCGCGCTCCGTGCCTTTCTCGCGCAGCACGCGGAACTGCTCCTTGGAGAGCTTGGTCCGCCACTCGCCTTCGCTGAGGTTGATGCTCGTCATGCCGCTGCTGTCTTCGTCGTCGAAAGTCGAACTCTGCGCCTGATTTCAACCTCCAAATCGGAATGTTCCGGATTCGACGTGACCTACATTCTGCTACGTTTTTAAGAAGCGCTTTCTTGTATTGGTGTTAAAAAGCAATTCAGCCATGGGGCACGGTCGACACGAGGAGCAACGATCCCGGCGCCTCGTCGTCAAGCTGCCGTCGTGCGTCTGGGATTCAAATGGCAAAAGCAATGGTACCACTGCATGGTCTCGCCCACCGAATTCCATAGAACGTCGATTCAGGCAAGGATGGATGTACGACGGAAGGTTCAAGCCGACCGACGTCGTCCAGCCAAGCTTGTGCATTGTGATGCTCCTCTAGTAGCATGCATGACGAGTTGTAGTCGTTATTAGTTTGAGTTTCATGCGACCTTGAGTGTTGCAATTTTACAGCAACACTCAAGGGTCGCATGGAGCCGAGACAGCTAAGTGAAGGGGTAGGGTTCGTGGCTCGAACTGGAAAGAGGTTGGCGCGGGGAGGGGTGCTGCGCGTTTGATGACGCTACGGCAAGCCCTTTCTTATACGTCGGCCTGTGACGCGGTCCTGGAGGGCGAGAGACACAGGGAGCGTTCGCGACCGTTCCAACTTCAAGTGCTCGCGTTCGAGTCCCTTGAGCTTCCATTTCATTCATTTTTGAATTGACTTGAAGATGACGAACGTCGACCTGACCCCAGGCGAGTGGCAAGTGAAGCTCTCCAAGGAGCAATTCCGCATCCTGCGCGAGAAGGGCACGGAAGCCAAGGGCACTGGCGAGTACAACAAGCACTACGAGACGGGTGTCTACCACTGCGCGGGCTGCGACGCGCCCTTGTACAAGTCCGAGACCAAGTTTGACTCGGGCTGCGGCTGGCCTGCTTTTTTTGACGCGCTACCTGATGCAATTGTTTCGCAGCCCGACGTCGACGGGCGACGCACCGAGATCATCTGCGCCAACTGCGGCGGCCACATGGGCCACGTCTTCACGGGCGAAGGGTTCAAGACGCCGACGGACCAGCGTCACTGCGTCAACAGCGTCTCCGTGCGCTTCGCCGCGCCGTAAAATTGCGTTATTGAAGAAAGCACTGGATTACATGCTGTATGATCGTCGTATCGTGTCGAGCTCTCTATGCTTGACGCAGGCGGATGCGCTGGCCGCGGGCTGCGAGCTTGTCGACGCCGACGTCCTCGACAAACGCGAGCAAGTCGTCTTCCGTGGCGTCCACAGGCACGACGCCGCTCAGAACGCTCTGCACACATAGCACCATCATGAGCTTCAACGACGAAACGTGCATTGGACTCTCTACCTGCTTGACGGCAATGAGGAGGTCCGTGACATAGTTGCCCGGTGTCAGGCCAAACCGAATGCAAAGCGACGTCGAGAAGGCACGCGGAAGGCACCGGATCGGGTCCTCGTCGCGACGTGCCTGCTGCACGACGCGCATGCTCGCCGCCAGCTTCTCGGTGTCGTTTTGACGCAGCGCGTCGACGGCGGCTTGAAGCACGGGCAGATGTGCCTGCTGCTCGAGGAATCGCTCGTGGAAGAGTGCGAGCGTGCTCGGCCACTTGGCGACCGCCTCGCTCGTCTTCCATGCGCGGTCGACTTCCTTGTAGATGACCTACATACAATACGATCTTAGCCCGCCCATGCGTGGAGCATCCTCATAGTACGTTGTGGCAAAAGGCGCCCAGCGCGTCGGACTCGGTGGACGTGAGCAGAATCCGGTGCGGCGCTTCAAACTTCTTCATTTCCAGCGCCGAGGGTGTGTTGTGGTCGTGGACGAGCGAGATGAGCGGCCGCTTCCCGCCAAGCGCACAGCTCGAGAGCACCAAGCCTTCGGCTGGCGCAGTCGGCACGCGGACAATCTGGTTGGTTTCTATCCAATTTGTGTTGAGCGAACTATTTCTACGAGTAGTTGTTGCACCGAGCGCTGCGTCAAACATCATGGGCGAGAGATGGCCGGTCGCGACGGCGATGGCCGCGCCGACCATGCAGCGGATCTGGTTGAGGAGGAACGAGGCGCCCGTCAAGTGCACGCGGAGGTACGGGCTTCCATGAAAGTCCTGAATAAGCGACCCGCGGCAGCGGTAGATCGTGCGGCGATGGCGTTGCAGTGACCGCCGCGTGCCATTCTCGATCGAAATGTTACTGGGCACGGAAAGGTCATCGTCGTCGTCGTCCTCCTCGAGCACCTCGTCGTCGTCGCTCATGGCGTCTTTGGCCATCCGCTTGGCGACGCGGCGGTCCTTCTCCTTGTAAAACGACCCGCGCTGCTTGGTAAAGTTGTGAAAGTCGAAGATGCCCTCGTAGCGCGGCAGTGTGGCGAGAATCGTGTCCGCCATCGCCTCGACCGACTGCCCGTTGGTCGCGAGCGGTGCGAGGAACGACAGCGGTAGAAAGTACTCGTACTCGCGCAGCGTGCAGTCTTCGCGAGCGCGGAACGACTGGTGCACCTTGGTGGCAGTAAACATGCGGATCGACGGCGGCAGGTGCGCGTTGATGGCTTCGGGCAGGCCACGCAGCCGACCGTCCGTCTCGTTGATGCTATCGCTGTCGACGAGCAGCTTGGCGGAAAACTAGCATAGTACACTTGTGTATCAGCGACGGACGGTCACGATGCATGGGCACAACGTACGACAATGCAGCTCGCGTGGACGCCCTTGTCCGTGCGGCTACTGCGCGACCAGCCAATCTTGGAGAGGTCGGCCAAGTTGGATTCGAGGATGCAGCCGGCCTTGAAGAGCGCAGCACGCACCTCGTTCTCGACGGTCGGAACGCCATTGGTATCCTGCAGCTGCACGCCATGGTAGCCCGTGCCAAGGTAGCCGCTCACGAGCGCGACCTTGACCTTGCGCTTCTTGGCCTCGGTCGAGAAGAGGCGCAGCAGCGGCCGACCCCGCGCGATCCGAAGCATCATTTTTGAATTTTTGGGATTTTTCCGAATTTCGTTTGATTGGCGGACGCGCGGGATTATTGTAATATTAAAATTCAATTATTTTGGCTTGGTCGAAAACGAGAGCTTGAGCGTCGACCGGACCGGCCCGAGCCAGGACGTGACGGCCTCGGCGCGCAGCTTGAGCTTGAAGGTCGACCGCGCCTCCAGCGGTACCGTGGGCACAAAGGTTGCGGTGCGCGACAGCAGGTCAAAGGCCACGGCGCCGCTGACGCGCACGCCCAGCGTCACGTTCTTGACCGTGATGACGCGGAGGCAGTCGACGTCGATGACGTCGCCGCCAAAGCGCACCGCCACATGCGCCGTGTACTCGACTGCGTCCTTGTCACTCGGGTACAGATGCAAGATGCGCGACGTGAGCGTGTTGCGCTCGGTCGCAATCGCATGCGCCTTGGCCATCGCATCCTCGCGCTGGAGCTCGGTCAGGACATCGTCTCTCTGTACAGCGCAGACGATGATGCGATTAGTGCCTACGCATGGGCTACCTGGAAGAGGGCGCTAAGGTACGTCGCCGCCAATGGCATCGATATCGTCGACGACCGCAGCAGACTCCATGCGTGCTGTCGCCTGAGCGCATCCTTGTCCATGACGCGCTGGGCCCCGTACGCCTCACCGGCAGTTGCAAACAGCATGAGTAGCTCGGGCACGGGCGTGAAGAACGCATGGTTAGCGCAGGTCGCCGCGAGATCTGCGAGCGCACGGGCCAGCGTCGACGCAACGCTGGAGGCCTCCGCGACAAGAAATCTACAAAGCGCATAGTACGCCGTCTACCATTCGAGTGTTGTGCTTGCATACGTCGCGAGCCATCCGGGCGCCACGCAGCGGTACACGGTAGTAAAGAGCGTCTGGCGCCGCATATGAGTCAACGTAGAGACTGCAGTGTACTGTACATGGAGCGTGCGATGCAAGAGATTCACGAGGGACTGCGTACTTGTGGACGAGTCGCTCGACAGCTGCGCGTCCAGAGCTATTACATGGACACATGCGCCGACCATGTTCCTCAAGGAGCAGTGTAATAGTACCAGGCAGGACGCGCTCGAGGCGATAAAACACACGGACAAAGAACCGGCTTTCTGCTCCGTGGCAAGGCACGCTTGCCGCGAGCGCCTCGAGCCGCTGGAGGCCCGCGAGAAGCAGCCCGACGCTGTACTGTGTCGTCCGCAACACGAGCTTCTGCGCATCGAGCCACGTGAGTATGCTGTTAACGTCGACGCCAAACCAATCCACCAAGTCGCGGCTGCCATAGACGTCCCGAACGAGAGCGAGAAGCGCGCTCTGGTTGGCGCGCAGCGACGGTGACGCGTGCGCGTCGACAGGTACCGCGGCACCGGTAAAGAGAAGGTCGTCGTCGTCGTCCTTGTCCAATGTGTCTACAATATAGTGGCGCCTTGGTACACTGTTGTGTAGTACTAGTCGTATGAAAGTCGATGCACCTGGCGTCACGAGCACGGGCGGGCAGTAGGTGCCGACGTGGTCGTGGTTGAAGATCGTCACACGCAGCGCGGCCGCGTGCACGTCCGTCAAGACGATCGTCGATGGCTCCTCGCTCAAGGTGCCGCGATGCACGACACGGTACAGCCGCTGCACGATCGAGAGGTGGCCTCTAGCCTCCGTCGATAAAGTAAAAAACACACTAGGGCGACGACAGTATTACCTCTCGAACCACCACATGTCCTTGTAGCGGTCCCAGAACGTCTTGGAGAACGGCGCGAGCTCGACAAGGACCGTGCCTGGCAGCGACGACGACGTTTGCACCGGGCTCACCCACGACACTTGAATGCCAAACGGGTTGTGCCGCAAGAGCCGCGCCTGCGTCGGCCCCTCGCACGCTACAAAGTGCAATGTGATCCGTGTGACACGTCATCATGAAATCACATCGTACGTGTTGACGTGATGGGCAGCATGACGGCGGCGTCGTACGAGCGCTCGCGCACGACGCTGCGGTAAAGACCGACTTCGACGGCTTTGGCCACTAGCCCAAAGCCGCGCATCGCGCATGACTCGGCCGTATCGAGCTGAAGCGGGACAGCACCAACGTACTCGAGAAGGCTGCCGCTGCCGATGCTGCATGTTATTGTCTCGCGGTTGAAGCGCAGATGCGCCGTCATACTGGTGCCGCGTACTTCAATCGAGAGCGTTTCAAGCAGCATGACGTCGTTCGCCTCCGCTGCGAGCATCGTCGCCATGGCCTCGATCGCGTCCAGCCGCGTCGGGAAGACCCACGCGTGCACGCTCACGCTATAGGACGGACCCATGGAAAGGACCGGCGGTATAAGCAACGCCAGCGACATCTGAAACCGTCATTTGTTAGGTTCAAGTAGACCAAAGGTACCCGTTGTTTGGGCAGCGCATCGTGGCGCGCGCGTTGGGCGACCGCAAACGTACCGAGCGCAAGCACATCAATATCGACATGTGTCTCGTGCAGTCTACAATGCAGTGCCGACTATATTCTCGCAAGCAATCCGAGAGAGGCTCATACCGGCACTGCGAAGCAGGCACGTGTCGGAACGCGTGGTTGCCATCGAGGTCGATGACGACGAGCTCCAAGACGAGAAGCTCCGCGGCCGTCATATCTGACGCCACGTTGTGCGGCAATCGCAGCGTCCATGGTGTCAGGAACGCGTCGAGCTCGGTCGGACGCAGTGCTACAAGGGGACTCACAAGGACCCCGAAGTCTTCGTCGGGCGATGGTTGCACGACATCGGGCGCTGTCGTTGTCACGTGCATGCACACGTCCATGCCGCGCGTACTCGCCAAGTCGGTGTCGTACATATCGACGACGCGGAAGCTTCCTGGCGGCACGAGAAGCTGGACACCGCCATGCTCAAGGACCGCGCCCGTGTTGCCGAGCACGTTAAAGCACGCGCCGCGCCGCTGGTCTTTTGGAATGTAATAGCGCGTGCTCGGGTCGACAACCACCGTGTCATCTAGGATAACGTCATTCTCCGTTGCATGGATTGGTGGCTGTCTACCGTGCACGAGCAGCGTCAGCATGGCCGAGCAGACACCGCCGCGCCAGTTGGTGATGCGGCACCAGTACTGCCCTTCGTCTTCGGGTGCCGCGCTGTCGGTGACGTCGAGCGTCGCGCTCGTGCAGCCCGATAGCACATCGTCGCCGCAATACCATTGGTACGAGAGCGGCTCGCCCTTGGCCGCGACCGTCAGCGCCACGTGCGACCCGAGGGCCACGCGTCGCTTGGGCGTCAAGTCTTCGATGATTTCCGGTGGGTCAAAGTAGCCCCAGAGCGCAATGAACGCGGCCCAGTATTCGAGGAGCTCGGTGCTCGCCGCCTTGGCATCGAGGGCCAGCGCCGCCTACAAGACAATCTTACCCACTCGTAGTGAAGGTGGCGGCGACCTGCACGTGGGCATAGTCAAAGTGTGGCACGGCCGATAGCGTTTCTTTGGTCGCCGTCGCGAGGAGCTATGTAGATTACATGTCGAGTCGTTCAGGATCGCAGAAACCAATGTACCCGCTTGCAGCCTTCGTAGTTGCCGTCGTCAAAGCTCTGCGAGGCGTCGGCGTACACGGCTTTGGCCACGGCGATGGCCATTTGGAGAATGACCTCGTCGCAGCACCCGCGCAACGTGGCGTACGTGATGGGCGCAAACCCCTATTATAGTATGTGGCGTGAGATCGCACGAATCGTAGACAGTATGAGTACGTCGCAGTCTTCCGCCGCGCCCGGAAACAACTTTACGACCCACGCAATGTCGTCAATGCCCCAGTTTTGCAGCACGGCGTGGTGCAGGAGCGTTCGTTCCTGCACGGTTTCAGTCGGCATGTATCGACGACGTGTGCACTGAATTACTACCTGGCGGTCGAGACCTTGGGCGTTTGCGTCGCCCGCGTCCAGGAGCTCTTGCATCCATCGCCGCCGCCGGTCGCTGCACGCGTTCGTGTCTGTCGAGAGCACGAGTGCATGGAGCAGCAGTCGATGCTAGTACGCCACATCGATCGGCCTCTGCTACACATATACCCCTACCTCCAACAGGAAGAGCCAGTCTTCCTCATTCTCGGTCGCGCGGAGCGGGTCGCGCTTGAGTCGTTTTTGCAGCACGCGGTGGCGCCACGCCACGAGGCCGCGCCAGCTCTGCATCTTCAAGTATGTCTTTTCAGAGGTTTTCTCGAAAGATACATTCGCAGAGGTTTTCCGGACGCACCACTCGTTTGCGCTCGACCAATCAAACGAATGGCGCGGTCCTAATTAGGCTTTGGCGGAAATTCGGACAATCGAGTTGGTTGGTTCGTACGCTTTGCGACGCAAGCCGGCGAGATTGCATTTTGGCTCACAGTCTCTCTTTGATTTCTCTATAAACAACAATGGCTCCCCCTCCTCCGGCTGGCGAAGAACGCGTTGTGATCCTCCGTACGACGGGCGGTGAAATCGCGCCCGCGTCGGCGCTCGCGCCCAAGGTCGGTCCGCTCGGTCTCTCGCCCAAGAAGGTCGGCGAAGACATTTGCAAGGCCACGCAGGACTGGAAGGGCCTCTCGGTCACGGTCAAGCTCACGATCGTGAACCGCGTCGCGACGGTCTCGCTCATCCCGTCGGCCTCGTCGCTCCTCGTCAAGGCCCTCAAGGAGCCGCCGCGTGATCGCAAGAAGGTCAAGAACATCAAGCACGATGGCAACTTGACGCTCGAGACGGTCATTGACATCGCCCGCACCATGCGCTCGCGCTCGATGGCCCGCCACTTGTCGGGCACGGTCAAGGAGATGCTCGGCACGGCCGCGTCGCTCGGCTGCACGGTCAACGGCGAAGCCGCGACCGAGATCCAGCGCCGCATCACGGAAGGCGAGATCGACATCCCCGAAACTAAGTTGTAAATGCAAGAGCCAAGAGGGACACCCTTCGGACCACGTACCTGGTACCTGCTGCTTCCATGACGCCACCCTCCTCTCCTCCCACGGCTTGTCTCACCTTCACTGGCGTGTCTCTGCCTAGCATCGCACCGACCGCGCGTGGCCATGATCCTCCTCGCAGTCGCTGTCACGTCGTCGTCGTCGTCGCCGTCTCTGTTGTCGCCGGTGAGAGCACAACAAACTTTAATATACTCCGAACGTTCGACTGTGGAAACAATCAACAACCCTTGAGGCGACTACGACGACGACAACGACGACGACGACGTGACTCGGCGACCTGCGACGACGGCCACCGCGCGTCTCTTCTCTTGCATGTGTATCTGCATGTTGCATCCTTGCATTTTGTCTACTTTTTCTGCATTTTTACATTTCTGCATTTGATTGACACGTGTGATTTTATTTCGTCCAGCCTTTTTGGCTGTGATGGAATTCCTCGTTTCTGAGTAGGCCGGACCCGCTGCACAAGCGGGGCTCGGTCACGACATGAGACCAACCTTGATTAATACCGATGATGTGTCCTCTATATTTCTGCATCCATCCATATTGGCGCAACGAGTGCACATGATTTCATTTCGTCCAGCCTTCTAGGTTGTGATGGAATTCCTCGTTTCTGAGTAGGCCGGACCCGCTGCACAAGCGGGCCCGGTCACGACATGAGACCAACCTTGATTAATACTGATCATAGCCTAGTCAACTGTACCCGCATCGATCTAATATACGTTGGACTTACTCCTTTACTTGATCTCGCATCTTCGCATTTAAGACAGCTCCTCTACCGCATCTGGCTCCCGCCGCTGGCTCCATATTTGGTTGTTGACACATGGTGGGCCATTGCGCGCAGAGCTGCAGTGTTCCGACAACCAGCCTCTCGCACCAGACTGCACGAGTCAATGAGACCATTTCGACCCTAGCTCGCAAGCGCCTGCTGCCAGTAGCCAGCGCAGATCGACAGTGTTGTCGATCGCAGTGTGTGTTGTCCTGTGAACGACTTTGCGGTAAGTAAAGCTACACGAGTTGTATCGAGTCTAGATCTTGGTGATAAAGTCGCTCTCGCGCCGAATGAGGCCCATTTGCTCGAGCTCGAGCAGCGCCTGCCTGCCTTCGGGCTCGCTCGGGCTTGCGGCCAAGCACTCGGCGACCGAAAGCGTCACGTTCGTCGCCGAAAAAAGCCCGTAGAGACGCGTCATGACCGCGCCGACGGTCGGTGACGACGCCAGTGTCCGCAGCAGCGACTGCAGTCGGATGGACGTCTGGACGAGGTTGGTCTTGGTCGCCTCGATCTCGGCGGCGACCTACTCCCATCCGCATCAACACACAACATACTACGCTTGCAGAACGTACGTTGGCGATGGCTTCTTCGACGCGCTTGTTTTCTTGCACTTGGAGCTCAAGCCAGTGGCGCTGTGTCGACTACAGCAAGGCACATGCATACAATCGGTCCCCACGTCGATACGCAGGATGGTACTATTACCTTGTTTTGCATCGTTTGGTGGGTTTGCTGGAGGACGCGAATTTCTTGCTGCAGATGCACACACTCCATCGCATCTAGTTGCGACTCGCGATCGTTGTCTTTGAAGGGACACCAAATACCCTTTTTCTCGGCGAGGGCGCGGGACTTGGCCGAGACGAGCTCGTCCTGCGGCTTGCGCTTGATCGGCGCGTTCTTGAGCGCATGGTACTCGTCCTTGAGTGCTGCAACGTCTTCGTTAGCGTCTTCGACTTGGGCCTTGAGCGCCGCATTCGTCGCCACAAGCTCGTCCAAGTCGGTTGACGGCGCTGGGAGGTCGGTCAAGTGCGCGTGTTTGGCATCCCGGATCCGAATTGCCAGCTCCAATTGCTAGAACAGGAAGCGTCCCATGTTCCTCAATGCGTAGGATGGATGGATCTACCTGCGTCGTATCTTCAAGTTCGTCGTGGAGTTGGCCGAGCGCCTTGGAGTATTCTGCCTACGGAACCACGTGGTTTTGCGTTGGCCATCCAGTCGATGTACCTCGACGTCGGCGTCGCGCTGGTCCATGACGTTGCGGAACTGCTGCGACTGCCGGCGCATCTCGGTCTCGAGCTGCTTCTTCTCGGCAAGCATCTTGTCAAGCATCTCGTGGGCTACAGCAGCAGATGAGCACACATGCAGAGGAGGATGTCGTACCTTGCTTCTCGAGCGCTTCAAACTTCTTGAGGTTGCGCTCGCGGATGTCTTCTTCCTTCTCATGCGCCTCGTACAGCAGCTTGTGCTTCTACATCCACTCATGAGGAGTGGACGATCGCAGAGCGACGTACAAACTTGACGACGGGCAGCTCTTCGTCGCGCATGGCCTCGAGCGCGTCTATGAGCGCATGCTTGGACCCGCGCAGCTACATGCATCGTCAGACTCATGCAGCCATCGCCGTCATGCACCTTGTCCGCGCAGAACCGCATCTCGTGTACGCATTCGTCGAGGTACTGCATGCGTCGTCGCCTGCTTGGTCGATCGACCTTTTGCCACCGGTCTTTGTCCGGATACGACAAAACACACCAGTACACCATTTGGACACCATGCAAGACATACTATTTCAATGTTATATGCCTAAATTAGTGTAATTCTTGGACTGCATGCGAATAGTGTTAATTGACACTATTTGACTGAACTATATATAGTGTGGTATCTCCGCAGGGTCCATCAAGCAGCAGTGGCATGGCGGCGGCTTACGGAACGCGGAGCGTCGAGGTCTACGAGAAGGTCAAGTGCGTCGGCTCGGGCACGTACGGCTGCGTGTACGAGGCCAAGCACAAGGCGACGGGCGAGCGCGTGGCCATGAAGAAGATCAAGACGCTGAACGAAGCCGAGGGCATCCCGATCACGACGCTGCGCGAGATCGCGGCGCTCAAGGCGCTGCGCCACCCGAACCTCGTCCAGCTCAAAGAGGTCGTCGTGAGCAAGCAGAAGGACGACAACGACGACGATCTTGGCGGTGGCGGCGCCGCCGCCGACGACAGCGCGTACTCGAACCATGGGACCGAGACCGGCGTCGACTACGCCAGCGGTTCGATCTACCTCGTGCTCGAGTTTGTTCCGCACGACTTGACGGGTCTGCTTCAGTCGGGCCACGTCTTTACCGAAGTCGCCGCCAAGTACATCATGAAGCAACTCCTTGAAGCGCTACAGTACATGCATCTGCGCGACGTCGTCCATCGAGACATCAAGTGCTCCAACATCCTTCTCACGGCCGACCACGAGGTCAAGCTCGCCGACTATGGCCTTGCACGCACGGCGAGGACGAACCCCAAGTTTACCAACAAGGTGCTACCTACTTGGATGGCCTCTGTCTTCAACGCGACGCTAGGTGGTCACGCTCTGGTACCGTGCCCCTGAGCTGCTTCTCGGCGGCAACGACTATGACGGAAGCATCGACATGTGGAGCGCGGGGTAGATGCAATCGACGCTCGTCGTTGTCCTTTGTCTTATTGATGGCGTAGCTGCGTCATGGCCGAGCTCTTCCTCGGGCATCCCATCTTTGCGGGCAAGGTCGAAGCCGATCAAATGGCCAAGATCATCGACGTCTGTGGCAGCGCTGTCGAAGAAGTGAATGGCATCTCGCACTTGCCCCACTATGAAAAGTTCATTCAACCGGACAAGCGCACGTGGCAGCTCAAGACGATGATGAACAGCAAGGCGGAGAAGCGCAAGCGGCCGCTGCCCAAAGGCTTTCTCGAGCTGCTCGACAAGCTGCTGCAGATCGACCCGAAGAAGCGCTTCAACGCCGAGCAAGCGCTCCAGTCCGAGTACTTTCGGTCGCATCCACATCTCCAGGACCCGGCCACGTCTGTTCTTTCTCTCCAAGCCTCTCGTGGCGTCATGTATGGATGCCGCTAGGGTCTCGACGTGGATTCCGACCATCACGAGCGCGAGCTGCCACGAAATGGCCACGCGCAAGGCCAAGAAAGAGTCGGGCGCCCAAGCCATTCTCAACGCTGCGAGTAAATCCAAGCACCAGCTCGCAGAGAAGAGCAAGCACCCGCTCGAGAAGAAGCCGCGTGCGGCCATGCCACCAGCACCACCGTCAGCGACGTCGCTTTTCATCTCCAAGCTTGGGTACACCACCGCCCCTTTACCACGCTACTGCAATATTGCGTAGCATCAAGAAGGACACCAAGTCCGAGTCCAGCGGCCTAGCAAAGCGAAGCGTCAAGCCCACGTACGTCCATCGCATGGACTTGGCGTGGAATGAGAACGAGCACGAAATTGTAGTTCAGAGACGCCTGCCAAGGCCCGTACCGTCGCCATGCTCGAGGCACGTCGTGAACGGTACTCTAGTTCAGCCAATATGGTGCTGACGGTGGGCTGCTCCTCAGGATGAAGAAGGAGACGATGGCGAAAGGGTCACCCGCCACCAAGTCGAGGTACCTCACTTCCTCTTCTACGCCCAACATCTCACTTGGTTTGTCATGGCGATGTAGCGAGACGGCAGACAAGACATCCAGGTTTGATGTGCTCGGAAGTGTCATGGTGGATTGAGCGCCGCCTGCCACTATTGTAGCCGTCGTGAGAAGATGGCCGCCGACCGCTCGGACCGGTGCGGCGCCGACGCGGATGGCTACACGCCTCACCGTGCCATACGTTTGTTTGCGTAGGACCCAGAAGAAGCCCAAGCCTTCCGTACCTCCGAGCCCGTTGGCGGCTGCTGTAACAGACGCAGACCGGTACGCATGGCCGCAGTCTGTAGCGATCGTGATCCAAATGCTGCAATGCTTTAGAAAGAAAAAACGCGAGTTGGACGTTGACCGGCCTTCGAAGCGCCAGAAGGTCGCCTCTCCCGTGGTCAGCCCGAGTGACTCGAGCGACTTTAGTAGTTAGTCGTCCCAGCATCCTTGTACGCGACCAACTAACACATCGTCCTACCTACCCTTAACGTCCGCTTGCGTCGTCTCGTTGATGCACGACGAAGGAAGGAGGAGGTTTCCTTACCGTCCGTAGCAGATGGTGCCAAGTGGCAAATCAAGATAGCAAACGTGCGGCTCACCAGGCGCCAGCCAGTAGCCGCCAGTAAAGGCCGCCACCAGCTGCCAGATGGCCACGACCGGCGTTCCGTGCCCGGTGACGTCATGAAGATCGACATGGATCACGCGACGAGGGCGACTGCTTCAGGCGCCAAGTCACCGACCTCTTCATGGCCACATTCCAGGCAACGTACCGTACGACTCTTTTGTGCAAGGTACGTACGAGGCATTCGCATCCTGCCCACGGCGAACACAGACGCCAGCGCCGGCGTGGACACCTCGCGCCCGCGTGACCCCAGCCTTGAAGTTGGCCACCAGCTGTTGCAAGCGCACTTAATGGAGCACACATGTATCGCACTTAATGCAGCTGTATACAAAGCCCAAGAGAATGCGATCTTGCGTGGGTGGGCGCGGGGAAAGTTCATTTCCGAATTTGCCTTTCCGCAAGCACGACAACAGCAACATGAGCGCGAAGACCCTTACGCTTGACGGCTTCTCGCTCGAGGCCGAGGACCTCGTCCTCCTCTCCAAGGGCGAGACCAAGATCGCGCTGAGCGCCGACGCGTGGGCCAAGGTGCAGAGCTCGCGCCAAGTCGTCGACAACATCCTCGCCGAAAACAAAGTCGCGTATGGCATCAACACGGGCTTTGGCTTGTTCTCGAACATTGTCATCTCGGCCGACAAGCTCCACGAGCTCCAGGACAACCTCATTCGGTCGCACTCGTCGGGCGTTGGCAGCCCGCTCTCGCCGTCGGCCACGCGCATGCTCCTCGCGCTGCGCATCAACGTGCTCGCCAAGGGCCACAGCGGCATTAGCGTCGACACGCTCGAGCAGCTCGTCGACGCGTTCAACAACGACTGCCTCTCGATCGTGCCGGAGAAGGGCACGGTGGGTGCGTCCGGCGATCTTGCGCCGCTGGCGCACCTCGCGCTCGGCATGATGGGCGAAGGCAAGATGTGGGACACGAAGGACGGCAACAAGATCAAGGACGCGGCCGAAGTGCTCAAGGCGCGCGGCCTCCGCCCCGTGCAGCTCAAGGCCAAGGAGGGCCTCGCGATGATCAACGGCACGCAGCTCATCACGTCGATCGGCTGCGAAGCCGTCGTGCGCGCCGCCAACGTCGCCGAAGTCGCCGACATTGCTGTCGCGCTCACGCTCGAAGTGCTCAAGGGTACCGTCAACGCGTTCCACCCGCGCATCCACGAAGTGCGTCCGCACAAGGGCCAGCGCATGGTCGCGGACCGCCTCCGCACGCTGCTGCAGGCGGACAAGCCGTCCGAACTCTTCAAGTCGCACAACTATGCGGGCAAGGTCCAGGACGCGTACACGCTCCGCTGCGCGCCGCAGATCCACGGCATCGTCAACGACACGATCGAGTTCGTGCGCGGTATCATCAACGTCGAGATGAACTCGGCGACGGACAACCCGATGGTGTTTGTGGGCTCGGCCGACGTGACCACCGACTTTGCGCCGCAGCAGGCCGAGCTCATTGACGAGCACGAGTCGGCGACCAAGCCCGCCGACTTGGCGGCCGCGAACGAAGAGATCGCGCGCCTCAAGCGCCTCCTCACCGAGAAGGAAGCCCGGTCGATGAAGCGCACGTCCGACACGTTCTACCGCGGCGGCGGTGGCTTTATCATCTCGGGCGGCAACTTCCACGGCGAGTACCCGGCCAAGGCGCTCGACTTCCTCGCGATCGGTGTCCACGAACTCGCCAGCGTCAGCGAGCGCCGCATCGAGCGCCTCGTGAACCCGTCGCTCTCGGGTCTCCCGGCGTTCCTCGTCGCGGACGGCGGTCTCAACTCGGGCTTCATGATCGCCCACTGCACGTCGGCGGCCTTGGTCTCGGAGAACAAGGTGCTCTGCCACCCGTCGTCGGTCGACTCGCTCTCGACGTCGGGCGGCAAGGAAGACCACGTCTCGATGGGTGGCTTCGCCGCGCGCAAGGCGCTGACCGTCGTGACGCACGTCGAAACCGTGCTCGCGATCGAGCTCCTCGCGGCCTGCCAGGCGCTCGAGTTCCACCGCCCGCTCAAGACGACGGACGCGCTCGAGGCCGTGTACCGCCTCGTGCGCAGCCGCGTGCCCGCCATGGACAAGGACCGCTACATCGCGCCGGACATCGAAGCCGTCCTCGACCTCGTGCGCTCGGGCGCGATCCAGAAGGTCGTCGAGCCGTACCTCGCCAACATCCACGTCAACCGCTTGTAAGATCGTCGTCGTATTGCATAATCTCTCTATACTCTGTAAATCAGACACTGTATTTTTCTGTCCAAAAAACGCAACGTGCGTGACAACGGGCCCATCTGGCGCATGGTCCCAGCACAGAACACAGCTTCGATCGGGCGCCGTAAGGATGGGTACGGACGTCTTTGTCATCGCCACGTACATCGTCATGCTCGTCCTCCTCGTCGCGTGGGGCGTCTGCCAGTACGTTGGCCGGACACGAGCCAGCGTGAGCTTGCTCCCAGGCGTCGACACGGTCCAGGACCTCGCCACCACGTACTACGCTACAACTATGGTTGACCGGTCTGTCTCGAACGCGATGTACTAGGGACACGGCGGCCGGCACGTGGACGTGCGCGGCCTGTGCGTTTGCCAACAGCAGCGCCGCGAGCACATGCCTCTTGTGCGGCATCGACCAACGCAACGCGACGCCTTATGTCTGCGTTTCGACGCCCAAAGCCACGTCGGCGGCGCAGTACGACCGTTGTGCTGCAATGTGCTCTAAGATCGAAGTGCGCGTGTAGGCACCGGCGCGACTGGCACCGCTTTGTGCTACCAAATGGCCAGTACCGCTGGCAGCACGTGCGTGGCGAGCGCTTCGAGGCCAGCGCGTACGTCGTGCACGTGCACGACGCGTCGGTTCGTCCCGAGACGGTCGCTTCTTTCAACGCGCGCCGCCGAGAGGCGTCGGAAGACGTCGTCGCGGTCCATGCGCTTCCGTTTCCGCAAAAGTTTCAGTGGTTTCTCAAAGCTGTTGCGTGGCTCAAGGCCGGGCAGCGGCACCGGTTTGTCACGCTTTGCACGGCGCGGCACGGCGATGGCGACGTTGTGCAAGCCATGTGCCGCGTCCTTGATCCGCTCTCGGAGGCCGACGTGCACAAGCCGTTCTCGGTGCGCTTTGATGACGAGCCGGGCGTCGACGCGGGCGGCCTCGAGCGCGAGTGGTACACGCTGGTGGCCTCCGCACTCTTTGATCCAGCGACCGGTTATTTTACGACAACGCACGGCCATACCCTCGAGATCGACGCGGCGATGGACCCACAGGTTTGTTGGTTCCAACGCCGTCAAATGCTACATGAATGGGTAGTGGTACCGGGGCATTGGCCGCTTCATCGGCCGGGCCCTCTTTGACGGGCATGCGCTGCCCGCGCGCTTCAACGTCGTGCTCCTCAAGCATCTCGCGGGCATGCCCTTTGGTCTCGACGATCTGCGCTTCGTGGACCCGTCGCTGCACGCGAGTTTGCACTGGCTCGTAACGGCCGAGCATCATGACGTGGCAGCACTGGCGCTCGACTTTAGGTTGGGCCACTTTGCCTATACGGAAATCGGCACTGACGACGCGTTGATTATTGCATGTAGTGTCCTATCGCCCGACGGTAGCGTCATCGACTTGGTGCCGGGCGGCCGCGACGTGCTCGTCACCAACGACAACAAGGAGGCGTTCGTTGCGAGCTACGTCCAGCACCGCTGCGTCTCGCGCGCGTCCGCTTCTCTCGCTGCGTTTCTCGGTGGCGTCAACGACATTTTGCCCTCGCGGATGCTCTCGGTCTTTGACCACGAAGAGCTCCGACTTATGCTCTGCGGTACTTCGTCGTTCGTCTTGTCGCGGAAGGCTAAAGCGCTTGCACTGACAGGCCTCGACGTTATCGACGTGGCTGACTGGAAGCGCCACACGTTTATCTACGGCGGCAACTGCGAGCAGAACACGATCGCGTGGTTTTGGGACATCGTCGCTGGCTTTTCACCTGCGCAGCGCGCGCGGCTGCTGCAGTTTGTGACGGGCAGTCCGTGCGTGCCCTTCCAGGGCTTCCGCGTACGTCTTCTCGCCAAACCGAGCCAGGATGCAGGCATACCTATTAGGGTTTAACGACCCGAGACGGCAAGCTGTGTCACTTTACCCTTCGCGTCGTACCCATGACCGACGCGACGATTTACCCCGTCGCACGCACCTGCTGCAACCGGTAGGCGTCATCATCTTCGCTGGCTACTCGTACGTACTGACTGCAATCCAAATCCATTAGCTTGGACCTGCCCGACAACGCGCTCACGCTGGTACGCTTGTCGAGCGACGTACTTGTTGTTTGTCGAGGAGGATGATGATGCGCGCAGGTGGCCGCGATGGACGTGACGGGCTTCTCCATGGCGTAGACTCAGGTGTAACTAATGCTGTCCACAACCCTTCGGGCGAGATTTGTTGTTTCTTCGTTGCCATCATGCTGCGCCGGGTCTCGGACGCTGACGACTACGAGGTACCTAGGTCGATGCTCTCGGCCGCGCCACCGATGCGGCGCGTAGGTGCGCTTTGATGCGCCGCGGATCGGTCTCACGCTCGAGCTGCACGAGATGGACCAGCGCACGATCCGCGTCCAGGGCGTGACGGGACCCGCGCTCGACGGCGGCCCGCCCATTGACGTACGACGCCGACCCTTCTGGATTGAATAGCGCGTATGCATAGAGTGGCGACATCCTCGTGGCCATCAACGGCGCGCGCGTCCGCGGCCTCCCCGAGACAGTCGCCGCGCTCAAGGTCGCGTCGCGGCCGCTCGTCCTCCGCCTGCGCCGGCGCCCGCGCTGCCTCGAGCTGCCGCCCAACTTTTCGCTCCAGCGACAACACGACGGCGGCGACGACGACAGTCTCTGCGCCGTCGTCTCGACCGCGTCCTCGGACGACGTCGGCAGCTCGGCCAAGACGACGTCGAGCCTCGGCCCGCCGATCCGGGCGCGGCGGCTCGAGTGGTTTCGCCCCGCAACGTGGGCGCCGCCACTGGCGCGATGGACGCCAGAGACGCGACAAGTGCTTGTCTCCGTGGCCGCGGCCGCCGGTGAACGCGAACCATCGGCTGTACGTCTCCCGAGACTGGCCCGTCCGTGTCTGGCGAGTCTGCGCCGACGTCGCCATTGCTCGCCGCGACGCGACCATCACGTGTGCTGTCGGCGGCTTGGAGCCGGGCAAGAGCTATGTCTTTCGGCTCCGGGCCACGCGAGGAGGCTTCAGCAAGGCCAGCGCGCCGATCGCGGTGCCTCGAACCCATTAAAAGTAGAGTTTTTAAAATATAATGCAACGTCACTGGCTTAGCTGTTGGCTTGGGCGCGGCGCACCTTTTCACGCTCGGCCTTCTCGAGCTCAAACTTGCGCAAGTCGACGCGGTGTAAGAAGTCCTTCTTCTCGAGGTACCTAGAAGCCGCATCGAATCCTGTAATATGAAATGCAGTGTACCCGTCCTTGGTGTACTGCTCGAGCTCGTCGACGATCCCTTCCTTCTCCTTGAACGAGTCCCAATCCAGCGACGACTTTTCGATGGTCGACACCTTCTTGGGCTCCTGGAGGGCGTCGACAACGGCGTCCAGGCCCGTCTTCTTGACCGCCGTCTTCTTGACCCTATATGTATGCTGCCGCATTGACGCTACAAAATGCACGCGTACGTGTACTCTTGACCGGCAAACTTGAGCACGTGGGTCGCGGCCGCGGCTTGTTTAAGCGGCGCGTCCCCGCGCGACTTGCCCGAGCAGCCCATGATGGGCATGTGAAAGTCGTGGACCGTCTTCGTCTTCTTCTTCTTCGGTGGGCCTTGCACGAGCTTGTGCAGTAGCTACGCAGGCGCCATGTGCCAACACCGCGTCGACAACAGTAGGCTACCTTGGCCGTTTTGCTCGTCGACGCGGCCGAGACCGCCGTGTCGGCGTTCAAGTCGGCCCAGAGATCGTCGACCTTGCGCTTGCTCGCGCCCGTGGCCTGTGCATCGACCTCAGCACGCCATCTCTTGGAGGTCATGGCCTACCTCGGGCTGCTTGGCAGCGTGCTTGCGCAGAAATCTATGGCGAAGACCATGAGGTTGGATCCAGCCGATGGGTGAGCATACTCTTGCTCCTCCTTCGCATCGAGCTCGTCCTCGACCTTAGCCTCCGTGTCTTGCTCTAGCGTAGATGGATACTACCACGATCACATGCAGGAGCGTCTACCTGGGTTGTAGTCCTCATCGTCCAAGTCCTCGGCGTCGGCGTCGGCGTCGATCGGGTCCTTCGTGGCTTTCGGCTCGGTTGACATCGTGCGCGATCTGGAGCCGAATGATTATTGGTGTTTGCGATAGAAATTAAATGGACACGACATCTTGTTTTTTGTATTGTATTTTATTTAATGTATCATGGCTATCCGGATGCGACGCCACTAATGTATCATGGCTATCCGGATGCGACGCCACTATCCGGCCCCACGGCAACCTTGGCCCCAGAACCTCCTCGTTGTCCAGCGGGTACCGCCAGCCTCCTTGGCGTGTGCCAGCCCTCTGACTGCATGGATATAAGGCCGGTGTTCCACGCCCTGTATTGAGCGACATGAGATGGTTTGGTTCGCAAAATCCGAGAAAGCAGAGTGGTTTCACGACTGCGTTTCAGCAGATTTCCCCTGTGCCACAAGCCTTCATGACCAACACGAGGCGACTACCGGAAGCATATCCAGTGGGAAGGGAGCATGATGGTCGCCGTCGAGCCGTTGGTTACCTTCATGCCGTAGCGATTACGAAGTCGCCACATTGCACTGCGATCATCACGAGCGTCCCACTCCAGCTTCAAGTCCGCGTTGAAGCGACCCTTCTCGTTCCTGGACGAGAAATTATCGAGCATAGACCAATATGCTGGAAGTAGTGTCGATGAAGCTGTCGACAATTGGTGCTGGCAAACATACTATCGCCAAGCCAGTCCAACAACTCCCAAGGGAGAGACTCGGGCTCAAAAGTGTATCTTTTGTCTGATTGGCTAAAATTGTTGGTGGATTCGGCGCCGGCGCTAGAGAAACGTGATTGGCCATTTATTCTTCAATTTGCTCGATGTCGCCCAACGCGCACGCCGACGTCCGTCGGTCGCCGGCGACGACGCCGATGGCCGCCAAGGCGAGCGGGCGCACGACGTACCGCCACCGGCCCGTGCCTGCCCCGCGCCTCTCGAGCAAGGTGCAGGCGATCATTGACGACGCCAAGCGCAAGCACCGCACCGGTACGCGACCTGCAACTCGGCTGCTTGAAGCCTGCCATCCATGGCGTCATCTTCGTGGGCTCATGGCATGCACGTAGACATGCGGCTCGATGCATGGACGAACCAAGGCTTCGCCGGCTCGGACATTTGCGATATGCCCATCGACAGCAGCAAAGACATTCCGCGCGAGTCGTGCAAGGACCTGAGCGTCCAGCGCTTCATTGACGAGTACGAAAAGCCCATGCTGCCGCTCATCATTGAAGGGATCCCGGAAGACGAAGGCTGGACCGCCTGCGACAACTGGCATCTCAAGGTATGCCATCATCATCATCATCCAGCAATGTATCTCATGCACATGGGACGCGCGCACGTAGAAGCTCAAGAAGGACTACAAGCACGCGAATCTCAAGGTCGGTGAGGACGACGACGGCAAGACGCTGCGCATGAAGTTCAAGTACTTTTGCAAGTACATGAAGACGCAGATCGACGACAGTCCGCTCTACATTTTCGACTCGACCTTTGACGACAAGAAGGAACGACGCAGCTCTTGCACGACTACAAGGTCCCGCGCTACTTCCCCGACGACCTCTTCTCGCTCGTCGGCGAGTCGCGCCGGCCGCCGTACCGGTGGTTCCTCGTCGGGCCCAAGCGGTCCGGCACGTGCGTGCACCTCGACCCGCTCGGCACCAGTGCCTGGAACACGCTCCTCGTCGGCCGGAAGCGCTGGGTCGTCTTCCCGCCGCACGTCGACAAGACGCTCGTCAAAGCAAAGGGTCTCGTATACCCCGGCGAGGACGACGAGGCAGGCAACTACTTTGCCGACTTGCTCCCGCGCATGCTGGCCAAGGACCCGAAACTCGAGTACATGGAGTTCATCCAGTACCCGGGCGACACGGTCTATGTGCCCGGCGGCTGGTGGCATGCAGTCTACAACATGGACGACACGATCGCGGTCACCCAAAACTACTGCTCGCACGCCAACTTTGACCGCGTCTGGCGCAAGACGCGGTCTGGCCGGAAGCGCATGGCGGTCAAGTGGCTCGACCAATTGAAGGTGCACTACCCCAAGCTCGCCGCTCGCGCCATCCACCTCAACGCAGCCGACGACTACACCATGTACGAGAAGAAGCGACCGATCGAGGACGTCGAGGAAGAGCCCGAGCCCGAAGGCATGAAGAAGAAGAAGAAGTCGAAGAAGTCGTCCATGAGCTAGATAAGTCCAACGCAACACGACACCATCATCTAGTTTTACTTGTGCAGAGTCGCATTATATGTGTATTGGGCACCGAACGAGATGGCCATGACGTGCACAGCTCGTTCTTGCATGAACGCCAATCGACGTCCGAGCGTCGTGGTCTCCAACCAGCAGTGCTTCATGGACCTCAGGTCGCTGGAGCTGACGTAGCAGGCGTGATAGAGCCAAGATCTATAGACGATGTAAGGACCCTTTTGATGAAAGGGCCATTTTGATGGAGCTAGCGAGCAAACAATCGATGATGCTCTCAAGGTGGGCAACAGTCTCAGCCACACCAACAACTAACCGCCAGCTCCAACCGCAAGCTCGCTCCAACCGCCAAGCTAGCTCCAACCGCCAAGCGCAAGAGCTTTTGCCAGCCGACTTTGTAAAGAGGCAGCGCAAGGCTCACGCTTCCGTCGGGCGAAGAGACGTCGACCGGCTAAAGCTCGCTACGTGCTAAATGAAAGTTGAGCATGAGGCTGGCGATCTTGACAAAAATTTGGTTTTGGCGACAGACCTCTGAGACTCGATACAATATGATGGATGCGTTGTGAGAGGGATCGAAAAATAGCGGGAGAATTGCGGTGGCCAGAGTCCCAGATTGCCCGAGGTATCATGGACATCCGCAGCTTCTTCGCGCCAAAGGCCGGCAGCGCGCCCAAGCCCGACGCGGCCAAGTCCCCCGGCCCGACCAAGGCTTCGCCCAAGAAGGCCATGCCCAAGAAGGAGCCTGCGCCGACGCGCGCGAGGAAGGCCAAGGCCGACGCCGAGCCCGCCCCGCCGGCCAAGTCGTCGCGCAAGGTCATCGAGCTCGACTTGGACTCGGACGCCGAGGAAGTCCAGCCCATCAAGAAGGCCAAGGTCGTCGAGCCCATTACTGAGAAGAAGGACGCGCCGGCGAAGAAGGAAGCGAAGAAGGCCGCGCCGGCGACGAAGGAGATGGCCAAGCAAGCCGCAGCCAAGGAAGAGGCACTGGACTTGCCAAAAGGTAGAGTACGCGTGCCCGACGGCAAGCCCGGTTGCTTGGAAGGGCTCACGTTTGCCTTCTCGGGCGTGCTCTCGAGTTTGCCGCGCGACGAGGCCGAGATGGTGGTCAAGCGCTACGGCGGGTCGGTGGCGTCGTCCGTGACGCGCAACGTCAAGTACCTCGTCGCCGGCGAGCTCCTTGAGTCGGGCGACTCGGTCTCCGTGAGCTCCAAGTTCAAGGACGCAGTCGCCAAGTCGATCAAGATTCTCAACCAAAATGACTTTTTCAACTTGATCTCGGAGCGCGCCGAGCGCATGACCGTGAAGCCAGCTCCGGCCCATGGAAAAGGCAAGCAAAAGGCGGGGTCGTCGATGACATGCTCTGGCCCGACAAGCACAAGCCCAAGTCGATGGCCGACATCATCGGCAACGGCGAGCTCGCCAAGCGCCTCATCCAATGGCTCCGGGACTTTGACGCGGTCCATGTCAAGGGCACGAAGAAGGTGCCTTACAACCCCAAGATGACCGAGAACATGGGCGCGAAGACTGTGCTTCTCTCGGGCCCGCCTGGCATTGGCAAGACGACGCTCGCCGCCTTGGCGGCTGCCGAAGTCGGCATGGACATCCTCGAGCTCAACGCGAGTGATGCGCGCTCCAAGAAGACGCTGCAGTCGGGCCTCGCCGATATCGTGGGGACGCAGGCGCTCTCGTTTGGCGGCTCGGCCACCAAGATGGGGCTCAAGAAGCGGCTCATCGTGATGGACGAGGTCGACGGCATGAGCTCGGGCGACCGGGGCGGCATGGCGGAGCTCATTGCGATCATCAAGAAGAGCAAGGCGCCGATCGTGTGCATCTGCAACGACCGGCAGTCGCCAAAGGTCCGGTCGCTCGCCAACCACGCGCTCGACCTTAAATTCCGTCGGCCGACAAAGACACAGATCGCGACGCGGCTCCTCGCGATCGGCGCAGCGCAAGGCATGCGCATCGAACGCAACGCGCTGGAAGAAGCGGCCGAGCGCTTTGGCAACGACATTCGACAATTGCTCAATTGGATGCAAATGTGGAACCGGTCCAAGACCGTCATGACGTACGATGACGTCATGACGCACTTTTACCAGTCGGAAAAGGACGAGGTATTGCTGCCTTCTGGAGACAATGTTTGATGCATGGCATCGTACATTAGGTGCTGCGGCTCAACCCGTTTAGCGCCACGCAAATCATCTTCAAGAGCGGCGCGTCGTTCGAGGCCCGCAACGAAGCGTATTTCGTCGACTACGACCTCATGCCGCTCATGGTCCAAGAAAACTACATGCAAAGCATCCAGAGCAAGCGCACGTCGTCGGACGAGAAGCTCGATGACATTACTCTGGCAGCCGATATGATTGCCGAGAGCGACCTCGTCAGCGTCTACATTCGCAAGGAGCAGGTCCTTTATTTTTGTTTATTTTTGATGGAATATTGCTTACAAGGACGTGTAGCGCTGGGACCTCTTGACCAAGCAAGCCGCGCTCAACGTCGGCGCGTGTACGTATGCCGAAGGCTTTGTGGGCCGCCCCGAGTTCTCCCGGTACGTACGCGTGGCCTCGTCGATGCAGGTGCAAGCACAAAGGAACACCTAGATGGATGGGCAAGAACTCGTCGACCAACAAGGCCAAGCGACTCCTCAGCGAGCTCTCGATCCGCATGCGCAGCCATGCGTCCGGCGCCCGGAACGGTACATTTTCGTTTTGATGCGCTCGAGACGATCATCAACCCTTGCGTTATAGCCATTCGGATGGACTACATTCCGTTCATGAAGGAGATTCTCTTGACGCGACTCCTCGCCGGCGACGAGGTACGACCGATTGGTAGCAATATATCAGAGAGGAACTGGCCGGGTTGTAGAGCATGGACGAGGTCATCGATATGCTCGATGCGTGCGAGATCAGCAAGGATGATTTGACCGAGTCCATGGAGCACTTCAAGTTCCCGGGCGTCGTGCGGCACTCGTACGCCGAGCTCGATACAAAGGCCAAGAGTGCGTTCACGCGCAAGTACAACAAGGGTGTGCACAAGTCGCAGGCGCTTGTCGAAGCGAACCTCGCGGCCAACCCGGCAAAGAAGAAGACGTCCAAAAAGGTCGCGGCAGACGACGACGGTCTCGGCGACGACGACGGTCTCATGGCCGACGACGGTGACAATGACGACGACGACGACGATGTGTCGCAGTTTCAAAAGAAAGCGCCCGCCAAAGCCGCGGGCAAGGCGCCTGCGAAGCGCAAGGGCAAGGAGCCCGCAGGGTCGGCGCCCAAGCGCGCGCGGGCACCGGCCAAGAAGAAGTAAACACAAGATATACAGTGCTGTAAGAAGAAACGTAGTACGAGAACAAAGTTGATACGTCCTTGTCCACAGCGACGTCCATGAGCCCACACTGGCACCATGCAGGCACCATGCAGGCATCGACGTGTCAGAATATCTAGCACTCAAAAGACGTGGTGTACTCGACGTCATTCCAAGCCATTGATCGCGATCGAGCTCAAGGGGACAACGCTTCGAGTCGCTGCCATTTATCCCAAGCACTACGCAAGCCCATCAGACTACAGAACCATGTTGTCCGAGTACATTCTTGTGGTATACAGTATCAACTTCACCATGCTTCGTGTCCTTGCAGAAAACCATTCTTTACATTCCAGCTAGTCTAGTGCCGCAGGTCACCCGATACTTTTGACGTGCCGAAGAAGCTGTGGGCCAGCAGCACCGTTGGGCTGCTGCGGCGGTCAAAAAGATCGTCCGGCTCCGTCTTTTCAGCCAATCCAAGCCCGCCGATTATAGATCGACCAATCAGCTGCAGCCATCCAGTACCTTGATGGGCGAAGACAACTCTTCATTGTTCTTGACGGCCATCACCGCGTCACCGCGCTCCGCGAGCTTCATGCGTCGTCCACCACAATTGAACTCGCGACGGCCAGCGACGGCAGCTACTTGGTGCCGGTGGTCGTGTACGAGACAGAGAGAGCGGCCGCCAATAGCAAACGCGTACAAAATAGCACACCGCAGAAAGCACTGGGCAGCCACACCTTGCTGCATTCGACGTCCAAGCCAATCGTCGGTCGACATCTTTGGTAGCATCTCGGCGTGGTCCCCAATCGTTTCGGACCTGCTATTGCTCGTGGGGCATTAAATATGAATGGTGGCATTGAGACTCCGTCAGAAAACTTCAAGCACATGAAGATGCGCCTCGGCCTGTTGTTGCTGCTCGGTGCCGTTCGCGTCCTTCGCGTTCTCGAGGTCGGGCAGATGGCGAGCTTCAAGACCACCGTACTAGTGTACTGGTGGGTCGCTCGCCGTGGAAATGCGAACCAAGGTGGCTCCGATCTTGTCGACAGCGTTGGCATCGAGTTGCTAGAGGACTCGACGCAAGCAGTGACTTAGCACCAGTACTCATCCACTTCTCGGCCAATGGTCCGTGGTCGCCATCGCTCGGCGACGTCGACTGGACGCTGGTGGATGCGGAGAGGTTTGAAAAGGTCTCTTCCCTTGCGCTAGAGCCTCTGCTTGCGCTAGGCGATACTATTCCGACACATGCAGACTAGGCTGAAACACGCACGACTCCATTTTATTAATTAACGACGGCGTGGCCCCCGCTACCAGACGTCTCCGAATGCGGACTATCTGCAGCTGCAAACGATGTCTACGTGGCAGACTCGAACCGGTACTTGTCTTCTTCAACGTAGTACTCGTCAAACCCCACATCGGCTTTGATCTAGAATGCAGCTTCGGAGACCATAATCACCACTGAAATATAATACCTGGTTGAAGGTCGGCAGTGACTCGACGGGTGTGTGGCCGTGCGTGCGCAAGTGCGCGAGCGCGCTGTTCATGGCCTGGATGCTTGCGCCGAGGATCGTGAGCGGGTACGCGACGAGGTGAAAGCCCATGGTTTTGAGCTCGGCCGCCGGTAGAATCGGCGTCACTCCGTGCTCCAGCATGTTGGCCATGCGCCAGCCCGGCACTTCGCGGCAGATGCGCTGCATTTCATCGACGCTTTGCGGCGCCTCGAGAAACGTGACGTCAGCGCCAAGCCGATGAAACTCGATGCAGCGCGCAATGGCTTCGTCCAGCGAGTGCGTACCGCGCGCGTCCGTGCGCGCGACGAGCACAATGTCCCGGCCGCTCTCGCGACGCGCGTCGACCGCCGCTCGAATGCGCATGAAGGCCTCGTCGCGCGAGACGACCTGCTTGCCTTTGGTGTGGCCGCAACGCTTGGGCATGACTTGGTCTTCGAGCATGATGCCGGCCATGCCCGCCTGGATGTAGCCTCGGACCGTGCGCTTGACGTTGATCGCGTTGCCGTAGCCCGTGTCGGCGTCGCCGATGCACGGAATGCTCGTGAGCGAGGCGCAGATGCGGCGTGCGGAGGCGACCATCTCCTCGTACGAGATGAGCTGCGTGTCGGGAAACCCGTGGACGGCCGAGACGCCAAAGCCGGTCATGAAGGTGCACTCAAAGCCCGCGCGCTCGACAAGGCGCGCTGAGAGACCGTCGTAGCAGCATGGAAGCACCACGGGCGTGTCCTCGCGGCTAAGCAAGCGCCGAAGCTCGGTTGCGTCTGCAGGCATGCGTTCTTCGTCAGCGAGAAAGACACAATTCGAGCCAATGAAACGCAAGGAAACCGAGCGATTCGCGATCTTCCGGCAGGGATTGCGCAATCACTTTTGGCAACTTCAACGTGGTCGTGGCGGCCAGCACACCGTTGCAGTAGACGTGTGGACAGGGTCCGAATGGCGGTGGGCAACCATACCAGTTTGCATTGTCGGTTCAAAGATTCGGAGCTAAGAGGTTGGCCAAGTTGTCCATGCGTCATGGCGTCGTAGACTTGCAGCGATGCCACAACCAATTCATGTTGGCGCGTAGACCGCTCTCGGACGGATACTTGGTCTTGGCAAGCGCCGTATTGGACGCGATGTTCGACGCATAGCTCCAATCTTATCGTAAAACTAAACTCGTCTGCACGCAATATCGCAACATTCTTCCATCAGTCCTGTTCGCTGCCTCCTACGCACGACAGAGCTACCACGGTTCCAGAAAATCTTGCGCGCCGTTTGACGAGCGAGGCGGAGGTCTCGATCGATGGTGTATTTCAACGATGATATTTGTCGTTTCACCGAAATCATGGCTTTCTTGGCGACATCGTCGTCGGCTCCGTGGAGTGCGACGCGGTTCACGATCCAGCGGGTATTTGAACGCCACGCGCACTTGTCACGGCTGGATGGCGCTGCACGCGGCTATGCACCGGCGCATCCAGCGCTGGATCCCACGCGGCGTTGACTCGATCGCTCGTCTTTTGGCGGATTGCCCCAGCCAGGCCGCAAGACCGAGACCGAGTTTGACACGAACGTCGGACAGGGCGGCAGAATAAAATACGTCGCAAAGCTGGACGCTATCTTCACCGTCACAGCGATGACCGACGCGATGCCAATGGCCGAGAGCGTGACGACGACGCGTAGCACGCCAATACCCCGTGCATGTTTCTCGACCAACAACTCCGTCAAGGTCCCAACTATTTTTGAAGACCTTTATTGTCTACTCGTGCGTTTTTGTGGGCGATATGTCATGATCTGCACCGCAAGGCTTGTCACTGGGTGTCGACATCACGTGGAGCACTCGCAGCTTTGGTGAGCACGAGATCTAAGTGCAGGACGGCCCTGCGACATGCTCGCGGACTGCTTTGCCAGAAGCCCTCGAACTTGGTTATAGAAGGATGCGAGTTTCACCAACAATCACATTATCTTTCTAACGAGACAAAAACGACGTGTCTCATAACCTACTATTATTAATAGATTCCTCGGCAAAAAAATGACACACGTGAACCTGAGACTGAAGCATCAATCTTGGTGCGCATCCCTTGGATCCGGCTTGTGCCCATGTATCGTTTTGATTGGTCCGTTTGCATTCCAATCGAACATAAGCCACCAATCATATGCTTTATATGGTCATATACCCAAGGATATACCCAAGGATATGCTCATGCGATTCCTTTTATCGCTGTGTCTGGTAGCCCTACCCACAACGCAGTGCGAGCACAAAGCGTACTACTCTATTCTTTACAAACGACCCCTCTATAAGCACCTTATCGCCCAGCGATTTCGTTGCAAGAGTGACAAACAGAGCCGTCATGTCATCTTGTCTATCATGACTTCGCCGATATCTCCTCCATATCCTCCCTGGTCTTTTCGCACTGAAATAAGTTCGCTCTTAAGAAGTATTGACGGCCTCCAACGCGTCGAATGTTCACTGCCGACTTCAGTGGCGAGGAACGCAATCGAAAACCTCTCATAATGCATACTACCTGTATAAATAAATACAATGCATTGAAGCTGAGATGACGCCATTTCTAGTTTGCAGTTGGTCGTCGCAGTCGGTGCTCGATGGGCAAACCCCGCGTCTCGTACTTCTACCACCGTCCGTCTCGAAGATGCCAAGTACACACCTTACGCTCTCTATTTGTAGCGGAGGAAGGCAACTTTTACTATGGCCCGGGCCACCCCATGAAGCCCCACCGGCTCAAGCTCGCCCACCACCTCGTGCTCAACTACGATCTCTTCCGCAAGATGGAAGTGTTTGTATGTGTCTTTTCTTTTCTTCTGCACGATTCACTTTTTTCCGATGTAGCAACCGCACTGGGCATCACCGGAAGAAATCAAGGCCTTCCACGCCGCCGACTATGTCGATTTTCTGCAGAAAGTGAGCCCGTCGACTGAAAAGTCGATGCAGACCCAAGTCGACAAATGTACGCTGGAGATGAATATCTTCTTGCCTCGGATGCTACCTCTCCGTATAGACAACATGGGCGAGTTCTCCGACTGCCCGGTCTTTGATGGCGTCTTCAACTTTAGTCAAATCTCGGCCGGCGGCTCGTTGGGTACCTTCATCCCCTTCGCCTTGGATCATGCGACAGATACATCGTTCGGTGCGTAGACGCGGCGTACCGCCTCAACCAAGGACTGAGCGACATTTGCATCAACTGGGCCGGTGGGCTGCACCATGCCAAGAAGGCCGAAGCGTCCGGCTTTTGCTACGTCAACGACATCGTACTCGGTATCCTCGAGCTCCTCAAGTACCACGCCCGCGTGCTCTACATTGACATTGACGTCCATCACGGCGACGGCGTCGAAGAAGCGTTTTACGTCACAGACCGCGTCATGACGGCGTCGTTCCACAAGGTTTTTTGCGGTTTATCGTCGTATGGACTTAATTTTTCTTCTAGTATGGCGACTTCTTCCCTGGCACTGGCCACGTCAAGGTACAGTAGACATGAATGCCATGTCGTGGGAGCACAAGGAGATGCGCTAGGATGTCGGCGCCAAAGACGGCAAGTACCACGCTGTCAACGTCACGCTCAAGAGCGGCATCGACGACGAGACGTACATGTCCATCTTCAAGCCCGTGATCGAGAAGATCATGGAGACCTTCCGACCGGGTGCGGTCGTGCTGCAGTGCGGCGCCGACTCGCTGACCGGCGACCGACTGGGCAGCTTCAACCTGACGGTCAAGGGTCACGGCGAGTGCGTCCGGTTCGTCAAGAGCTTTGGGTTGCCCATGATGGTCGTGGGTGGCGGCGGCTACACCGTGCGCAACGTCAGCCGAGCGTGGGCGTACGAGACCTCGGTTGTCCTCGAAGAGCAAGTGAGCAACGACATTCCTTTCAACGAGTACTTGAGTACTACGCGCCGTCGTTCAAGCTCCATTTGGACCCGAACCCGGAGCTTGAAAACTGCAATCGCCGCACGTATCTCGAAGACATCAAGTAGGCCATCATGCGACGAAGACGGGCGGCGCTCATGCGATGGCGGTGCTAGGATCAAGGTGTTTGAGCACCTGCGCATGCTCAAGGGCGCGCCGAGCGTACAAATGCAAGCGGTACAATCGCTGCATGTCATGCCATAGCGCGTGCGATCGTCGTGTAGGTACCACCCGACTACATGGCCCGCGAAGCCGACGAGGACGCGACGGACCCCGAGACGCGCGCCGACCACGACCCGACGCGGCGCGCCCACAGCGCCGAGTTCTACGCCAACGACAAGGTAGCTGCGCATGCTTCGCCCATCGCGCGCGCTCATGGCGCTCGTCCTAGGACACGCATGGCGCCGACGACGTCGACATGGTTGTCGACTAGCTTCTGTTGTCTATCCCAACTGAATGCGAAGAACCTCCCGGATTCAATTTTTCGACATGCGGTCTCGCAGGTTTTCCTCGAACCGATTGGTTTTAGCGGTGCAGACAGAGCTGGTCGCAAGCAACAGCATGGGCAAGTCCCGCGTCTCGTACTTCTACCACCGTAGGTGCTCCATGCTCACCGAGCGCTCGCCTCATGCTGCCTTCATGTAGCCGAAGAGGGCAACTTCTACTATGGTCCAGGCCATCCCATGAAGCCGCATCGGCTCAAGCTGGCCCACCATCTCGTGCTCAACTACGACCTCTTCCGCAAGATGGAAGTGTTTGTACGTGCGTGTAGCCTGTCCGTCATGGCTCATGGCCAAAGTAGGAGCCGCATTGGGCCTCGCCGGAAGAGGTCAAGGCCTTCCATACCACCGACTACATCGACTTTCTCAAGAAGATCAGCCCGGCCAACGAGAAGCAGTACCAATCCGACGTCAACAAGTGTACGAAGATAACGGCGCGTGCATGCATCTCATACCATCGATCTAGTCAACGTCGGCGAGTTCACCGACTGCCCGGTCTTTGATGGCATTTTCAACTTTTGCCAGATCTACTCGGGCGGCTCGCTTGGTACATCGTCGTCTTCCATCCTGCATATCGCATCCATGGCCTCATTAGATGCGGCGTACCGCCTCAACCAAGGGCTCAGCGACGTGTGCATCAACTGGGCCGGTGGGCTGCACCATGCGAAAAAGTCGGAGGCGTCCGGCTTCTGCTACGTGAACGACATCGTACTCGGCATCCTCGAGCTCCTCAAGTACCACCCGCGCGTGCTCTACATTGACATTGACGTCCATCACGGCGACGGCGTCGAAGAGGCTTTCTATGTCACGGACCGCGTCATGACCGTGTCCTTCCACAAGGTACACCCGCACCCAGCGCCTGTCTGCTCATGCTACGATGATAGTATGGCGACTTCTTCCCTGGCACGGGCGACATCAAGGACGTTGGTGCCAAGGCTGGCAAGTACTACGCGGTGAACGTACCGCTAAAGTCAGGCATTGACGACGAGTCGTACCTCTCGATCTTCAAGCCCGTGATCGAAAAGGTCATGGAGTCGTTTCGACCGGGTGCGGTCGTGCTGCAGTGCGGCGCCGACTCGCTCACCGGCGACCGACTTGGCTGCTTCAATCTAACCGTCAAGGGCCACGGCGAGTGCGTCCGGTTCGTCAAAAGCTTCGGCCTGCCCACGCTCGTGCTTGGCGGTGGCGGCTACACGATCCGCAACGTCAGCCGGGCGTGGGCGTACGAGACCTCGGTCGTCCTCGAAGAGCAAGTGAGCAACGACATTCCGTTCAACGAGTACTTTGAGTACTATGCGCCGTCGTTCAAGCTCCATTTGGACCCGAACCCGGAGCTTGAAAACTGCAACTCACGGACGTATCTCGAAGACATCAAGTAAGTAGGCCGACGGATCGATACTCATGCTGATGATGATGATGTAGGGTCAAGATCTTTGAGCACTTGCGCATGCTCAATGGCGCGCCGAGCGTTCAGATGCAAGCCGTGCCGCCCGACTACATTGTTCGTGAGGAGGACGAAGACGCCGCCGATGCCGACGCGCGCACGGACCACGACAACACCAAGCGCGCCCACGAGGCTGAGTTTTATGCACACGACAAGGTGCGTCCGTCTCTCCTCACACTCGAGCTCACGCGGACTGTAGGATCAAAAAGGCAAGCAAGATGAGAATGTCGACATGACCATCGACTAGAAAGACCATCGACTAGAAAAAACGTCCTTTGAACCTTCTGCTCCACCCGCGCAGCTCGACCCGCTCACCCGCGCAGCTCCACCAGCATGGCTCCACCAGGGTCGCTCCGGTTGCATTCAACCTCTGAGGCGTTGAGAGCTACTTCCATACTACGCTTCAATGCGTCGATATAGTCGATACAAATACGGGTCGACTATCCTAGAGACGTGTACAACTTGTCCTCAGCTCGTTCGATCCGCAGCGTTGGCGCCAGCGCGGCTTCAAGGTTGATTAAGTACGATTATCTCAAGTCGTACTTGAGAGAACCTATACAAACAATTAATGGTAAATACGTACTTACGGTTTGCCGCGCATTGGTCGGTTCCATTTTGCACCGCAGCACTTGCCGCGATGGTCAACGAGTCGTTCTCGCCCGAGCTCCTCGGCCTCTACTACGACCGGCTCTTCCCGTACGAGCTCATGACCAAGTGGCTCGGGTACGACTGCAGCATGGACAAAGGCGGCCCCGGCACGGAGCTCCTCGCCCGGCGCGAGTTCTCGTTCACGCTCGAGAACGACGTGTACATCCGCTACAAGGCCTTCCGCGATGCCGACGAGTTCAAGACCGAGATGAAGAAGCTCATGCCGTTCAAGATCGACATTGGCGCCGTCTTTACCGTCTCGGTACGTCGTCGTCTCTGCTACATGGGCCATCGACGGCTAAGCAACATCATGTTCGCAGCCAGCGGACAAGGGCAAGGTCGACGCGGCCAAGTTTGTGCCGGAGGAGCGCGAGCTCGTCTTTGATGTCGATTTGACCGACTACGATGACATTCGTACGTGCTGCCAGGACGCCAAGATCTGCGCGCGCTGCTGGCGCTTCATGGTCGCCGCGGTCAAGGTGCTCGACACCGCCCTCCGCGGTACCACACGCATCATCCTTTGCCGCATCATCATGCGCACAATGATCATAGAGGACTTTGGCTTTCAGCACCTCATGTGGGTCTACTCGGGTCGGCGTGGTATCCATTGCTGGGTCTCGGACTACACGGCGCGCATGCTCACGAACGATGCGCGGTCGGCCGTTGTCCAGTACCTCACGACCGTCGAGGGCAACGAAAACACAAAGCGCAAGGTCGTGCTCCGCGATCCGCTGCACCCATCGCTCGAGTACGCTCCTCATTTCCATTTTTCCATGCGTTTTCTATGGCATGGCGAAGGCGGGCGTACACGATTCTCGAGCCGCTCTTCCACGACATCATCTTGAGCGACGACGGTCAAGGCATTCTGAGCAGCCCCGAGCACTGGAAGAAGCTTTTGGAAATGGTGCCGGACGAAGGTAGCCCCGGCATGGGAACAACTGCACGACCACATGTCGCTAGACATTCGCGCGACGTTCCACAACAAGTGGCTCAAGACCACGACGACCGAGTCGCCAGCGACCAAGTGGGCGAATCTCAAGGCCGCGATCCACGACGCTCTGCATAGCAAAAAACGCAAGGTATCGTCGATCTATCAACGTATCAACTTTGCATTCTTGGACATGGGTGTAGCAAATGGGCGACGACAAGCGCCGGCTCCTGTGCACGTGCATTCCCGAGATTGTGTTTGCGTACCTCTACCCGCGCCTCGATGCCAACGTCTCGAAACAACGCAACCACTTGCTCAAGAGCCCGTTCGCCGTGCACCCCAAGACCGGCCGCGTCTGCGTGCCCATCGACCCGCGCAAGATCGACATCTTTGACCCGGACACGGTGCCGACGCTGGCCGACCTCGAGCGCCAGCTCAACGGCGGTACGACCTCTCGCCTCTCGTCGATCGAATCTGAGGCTATGGTTGCGCAGAGGCGACCGAGCACGTCAAGCCGTTCACGGACTATATCAAGTTGTTTGACGCCAAGTTCATCCACCCGATCCAGCTCGCGCTCATCAAGCAAAAGAAAGTTCTCGCCGAGAGTACGTCGTTCGTATTCGATCAGATATCCCCTCTCACGGCATGTGCTTAGCGCAAGCGGCCGCGACCGGCGACTGGTAGAGGGGTTGCATCTCGAATACTATCGCCCGTTTATATGCACGTCTACGTATGCGTATGGCAGCATGCTATTCGTGCTACTAAGTTAGTCCGATCTACTCGAACGACTGGCCTTGGCGCATGGCCTTGAAGCGCGAGACGCGCTTGGGCGCTGCCTATACGCCACGTCAGGAGATCGCATCGCATCGTCGCGGTGGCTTCGCGTACCATAGGGGTCGTCTCCGGTGCGGCGACGGCTGCCGGCACCGTACCACGCTCGAGCACTCGCCCGGAAAAGACGCTCGAGTTGTTGGACACGCGAAGGTTCTCGGCATCTTCCTTGGCTTTGGCCTTGGCGCGCATCGTCGCGGCTTGGGCCGCACTCGACTTGTCGGTCGGCTTGAGCGCCAGCGCCTTCTCGAACGCCGCCGCCGCTTCGTCAAATCGCCCGAGCTCGCCGAGCGCCTGTCCCCGCCGAAAGTGACCCTACGAGACAGCGTGCTTCACGCAGTGTTGTTGGCTTTCTCATCGCACCTTGGGCCACGACGCATCGATCGAGACGGCCTTGGTCGCGTCTTCCAGCGCCACGTCAAACTTGCGCAGATGAAAGTACGCGGCCGATCGGTTCCCGAGCAGTGTCTACATGGACTGAGATGCATCGATACCGAAGACGCGTACGTGCGACGACGGCTGGAGGGCGAGGGCCTTGGAGTAATACTCCATCGCCGACTGGTAGTTGGTCGTTGGTCGAGGCGAACGCTGCGTTGCCTTGCTGCTTGAAGCCCTCGGCTTTGGTGACGTTGGGGTCGACAAAGAAGGAGTCCTGCGCTTCATCTATCCACGCGTTGATCCATCCACTGGATACTTGATGTTGGAGAGATACCGGTTTCGTGCTTCTCGAGCTCTTCCATGCGCTGCATGGCCTCGTCCCTACGCCGAGCCGTGAGTCGAATCGAGACAACGACGCCCACCAGTTCCACGCGTCGGCCGCTTGGGCCTTGGCAACTTCTTCGTTCTCAATCTCAAAGTACTCTTCAAAGTCTTCGTTTGTGGCGTCCGTTGCTTGCAACAGCGCATCGCTCTCTTCCTCCGACTGCTTGATCTCTTGAATGTTTTCTTCCTCGTAAATCTACATTGGCATGGCGCTCGGTACGATGCAACATGGCACGTTGAGGAATACCTTCTTGAGCTTCAAGACGTGGTCGACGTCGTGGAGCTTGTCGTGAAGCGACGCAAGCCACTCCTTTTGCGCGTCGATCTGCCCGGTAATGTCTACGTCGGTATGAACATCACGCTGGACGAAGATGCGCTTCTTCGTACTCTTTTGGCGCCGCGCAATCATGTCCTGCGTCTCAATCGCCGTCTTCTTGGCGTAGTGGTCGCCGCCGAGGTGCGCGATGATTTCGTTCGAGTGGATGATGGAGCCAGGAATGAACGCCTGCTTCCCAAGCGGCACCATGATCTCGTGCTCGAGCTTCTTGGGCAGGTCGTCGAGGACGGACGCGAGCGCATCGTACTCTTTGAGGTCCTTCTCAAGGGCGTGGATGCGCTCCGACGCCTCGCGCATGTCCTAGCGCCGCCATGAGCTAATGCTGTGCCATGGCCTCGCGATTGTACCTCGCGCAGCTGATGGGGCTTGTGCGACAGCCGCGGCTTGGCCGGCGCGCCCGTCGTCGCCGTTGTCGTCTTGGCCGACCTACGCCATATGCTTCTTAGGGCGCCGATGCAGCATGCGCGTCGTACGTCGAGGTCTCGGCCTCGTCCTCTTCGAGCTCCCGGAGGATCTTGTCCCACTTGCCGTAGTTTGACATCGTCTTGCAAATGCACCAGTCACGCGCGGCGGTATTAGTTTCGGCATGTGTGGTGGCACATGCCACGCAATACATGCTTACAATCGGCACAGGCTGCCGATTTCGGGTATAGTTCGAGACCACATGCCACATTGAAGTTGGGCAGGTTGAAGTGCTCCATGAACCACATCGACAGGGCGTGTTAGCGCTACAATAGGCGCCACGCGTGGCCTGGGCAGCAGCAATGAATGGAACAACCTACACAAATCCTGCGCGATGCAGTCGAGGCAGGTGTAGATAGAGCTGCTTTAGGTGGTGGCAAGAATCAAAGCGATCCAATGCAATTTGCGAATTTATTTCGGAACCTCTATCATCGTATAGCCGAGGTACAAAATTGTATAAGGTTTGAAGATATCGGCGAGGTGGCAGAAATCTCTCTATTAGAGAGATTTCGCAAGTCATTTCCCGTTTCCGTCTGCGATTTTATCCTGTCATAAATTATTAGAAATGGGAAGTCTCTGAAAACTAATCGTGAAATTCGCCCAAATCGATCGAAAACGCGGACCGAAGGCTCCCGTCTTCGTTCAACAGGTTAAAGTACGTCAAACCGTGACCGAGGCTTTAACCTTGTTTAACCTGTCGGCATTTCGCGCCCACGTCATTTTCATTTTGGCGCGATGACTGACAACCGGCCGCTCTCGTCGGAC